TTGACTAAGTATGTGTGTTCGTTGGACTAGTTGTAATCGAGAGTTATCTTGATTTCGTGTAGGTGTCCCGAGGTGTTTGACCTCAAATCCTACCGTTAAATCGTATATTGTGAATTTTATTGCTGCAATCAGGTGGGTTCAATTATGTTGAATCTATAATTATCGCACTTGTTCTTTTGTATAAATGTTTGTCTCGATAGCTTCTGTATGCGTGAGAACCCTAGTCTAAGTGTCCCGTCGATAGTGCCTTTGACGAATGCATAATCAGTGAGAGGTCGCCTGCCCGTTGTATCCGGGAGGGACGCCCCGTGCCGTTGTATCCGGTGGGGGAAAAAACAGCTCTACTATCTCCTGGAAAGGATCATATGCCCGTTGCATCCGGTGTGGGAATGTTTCCGGTTACATCCTTGTCGATGTCTGGTCGGGGGGTTTGTTGTATGTACATAGGAGGTTTGCGCTAGGGCCTAATAGGGAGTTAGATCTGGATTCTATTCATACATTATTTATAGTTATGAATCTTTCTGCGAGATATACTGTGCGGTAATGGTGAGTATGATGGTGATACTCACCCCCATTATTTTTCTGTCCTCTTGTTCCTCTTCCTATTTTTAGGTTGAGCATGGTTGGCGGCGGCAGCGAGAGACGATCAACTGGTGGTCTTTGGATTGATATGTCTTTTGCTTTCGCTTTTATTATCTATATTGGATTGCTTGATTTACATTGGATTATTATGCTTCCGTTTTAAATTACTTCGAACATGTTGGTTAGACCATTGGATTCATGTTGAACTACTTGTTTTACTTTTATTTATTTATGCTTCCGCTCTGAACATCATGATTATGTTTGGATGGTTTTAATACTTATGAATAATTTGGTTTTATTTCTAGAACTGATAGTTTCTGCATGCGTAGGTTCTATCTATTTGTTCGTAATTATTTAATTGTTGTCAGTAGTTGAGTAGCACCCATTAATTATTAAAGTTTTAAATTGAGATTTTGTGAAAAATTAACTCTGATTTTTTTATAAATAAATTCAATAAATTTTTTTAAATAAAACGGGGCGTTATATAACAAGTGTATGAGTTCCCACTTTCACTTTCCACTCAAATTCACAAATCGATCCACAGTCCAGAAGAGTTGATAATCAGGGACATGCCCAATCGCAACATCTCTTAAGGAATGTGAACAGAGAAGCCAAGTATCAGTCCAAAAGCGCACCGTTTTCCCATTGCCCAAGCTCCATCTCACACCCTTTAAAACATTATCCCATACCTTACTTATTGCGCGCTACACAAAAGAACCTTGAGGAAACTCAAAGCCACTCCACATTAGCCTAGGGTTCAGATTATATTTGCCGACAGAATTTTAACCATAAAAGGTTCGACTTAATAAACAATTCCCATGCCAATTTCATGATCACGACTTCATTCATTTGGCGTTGAGATTTTAAAGTAAGGCCACCTTTATCCTTTGGATTACACAAAACATCCCAGTGAACGAGGCTCACTTTATGGCTAGAACTACTACCACCCCACACAAAACGTTGGCATAATACTTCCACTTCTTCACAAATTGAGTTAGGCAACCAAGTCGTCTGCATAAAATACTAAGAAAGGCTACTAATAACTGATTGGGCCAACACCACTCGACCTGCCTTAGACAAAGAAGTGGCTTTCCACCCCGCCAAACGAGGCTCGACCTTTTCTAAATTATGAGAGTAAGTATCATTTGTGATTCGACCATGTATGAGGGGCATCCCCAGATATTTCCCAAGGTCATCAACCATATTAAACCCCAGTGTCTGAGCTAGCCTCTACCTGATATATATCTCAACATTTTTTCTAAAACATACTCTCATTTTGGGATCACTCACCTTCAAACCGGACCGATTGCAAAATGTTTCCAGCACTGACTTCATAATTATTGCTTGATCACGTGAAGCCTCAACAAAAAGTAGCAAATCATCTGCAAATAACAAATACGACACTTGCACTGCACCACGATCCACCGACATTGTCTTCCATTTCCCACATGACACTGAATCATAAATCAAATGAGCCAGACGCTCCATACATATCACAAACAAATATGGAGAGATCAGGTTGCCTTGACGGACCCCTCTAGATGGCCGAAACTCTTCGCTAATCTCATCATTCCATCGTAGCTGAATAGTAGCCGAAGAAACACATGCCATAACACTGCGAACAAATTCAGTTGGAAATCTCGCAAACTCCAAACTCTCCTTCACAAAATCCCACCGCAAGTAATCATAGGCTTTCTCAAGATCCACTTTCACAACCATGAAACCCTTTTTACCAGTTTTTACACGCATAGAATGAATTAAATCACGCGCCACACTAATATTATCTGAAATATGTCGCCCGGGAATAAACTGGCATGAGCCGGCCCAACAAGTTGTGATAATAAGGTTTTCATCCTGTTAGCCAAAACCTTAGTGATCAACTTGTATATCACGTTAAGGAGGCTAACCGGACGAAGATTTTTCAAAGATTGAGGCTCCAGAATCTTCGGGATCATAACAATTAGAGTCTTGTTGAAACCTTCCGATAAAGCACCACTCCTGAAAAAATCTCTTTGTAGCTCGCAGACACTAGGACCTACCTATTTCCACTTGCGTTGAAAAACAATGCATGGAATCCATAAAGGCCAGGTGCCATCAAAGGTTGCATCTGTTTGAGGGCCGAAAAAATTTCAACATGTTTTACCTCGCCTCCAACTGATTGTAAAGTTTGATTAAGATTAGGGAAAAAATTTGCCCAACCATTCGACAATGAAGGGTTCGGACCAGCATTATATATTTGACGAAAAGAATTAACTGTTGCGCGCCGCATCTGATCATTATCTTGAACGAGATTCCCGTCATCATCACGTAAAAAAAGAATTTTATTTTACGTCTTCGGGCCTTTAGCTTACGGTGATAGAAAGATGTGTTTCTTTCCCCAAACAAAGTTCAACCCCGCTGGGTTTTTTGAATAAGTAGCAATTCTTCCTGTAAAAGTACTTCCTGAAGCTCAACCACCAATATTCAGGAGTCTATCAGTCACATACAACTGCAATTCACGTTGAGCCCCTGCAATTCTTGCTAACATACGTTTATTCTTTTGAAAAATATCCCAAACTCATGTGCATTCCATTGCTCTTCTCTCTCAGTAAAAGATTGAGCCACCTCAATATAATGGCGTGAACCCCTCCACGCATCATTTACTAAATCATTAAAATTGTCATGAAGGAGCCAAGCCGCTAAAAAGCGAAACGGCTTATTCGCAACCCCGGAGGTCATGCGATCCCCACAACGTACAAGTAACGGGATATGATCTGAGTTCAACCTAGGCAAATGTTGCACAAAACAATTCGAAAACTGATTCAGCCAAGAACCATTTGCTTGGAATCTATCTAGCTTTCAAACACGTCCCCTTGCTGCCAGGTCTTACTCCAAGTAAACAATAAACCATCGGGTTTCTATTCATGAAGGTCACAGTCAATAAACCATCTTTAGTTGTAGTTCTTTTCTTTTTTTTTGAAAAAAATTCTCAATGCTCATATCATATATATTCCACATGGTTTAAAATTAGAGATGCAATAAAATTTATTCTTTAATTAATTAGATTTGTCTCTACAACACTTGTTTATGCAGGAACATACCTTAAATCATAAGGTTGGTTCATACAAATTATATATCTTCCAAGTTCCAACATCTACAAAGCTCTCACCAGAACTGAATCACCATTTTCATTTTACATCCATGTACAGTTGAAAAATTACATGAATTATACGAATCTTCACTTTTTTCCCCACACAGAACAGCTGCATAAATCTCTCGCTCTCTCACAAGAAAACCACTCTTTCCCCGTAACATTTTCTCAACATATAACCCTGTTAGTGTTATATACTGAAAGATTGGCTTTGGATGTTATTACACTTTTGCTCTTTATGAATGAGAACCTTGTTAGATTAAACAAGTTCTATGTTTTGTTGTTTTGCACTTAGATAAAGTGGGTCTTCATCGGGCGAACCGAAGATCACTCTGTAAGTTACTTGCGAAACAAGAATTGTGGTTCACAACCTAGATGGACATGAACACCCCATCCGAACGGTTGTAGTGTCAACTGTACCGTTTGTCTTGACTGATTAGTTGCACTAGTACATTTATGTATTGAACAAGATCCCAGAGAGGAGAAGTTCGTTTTATACTAATCATCGTAAACAAACTAGGCATCGGTTAATTACTGCGTTCTCTTAACCCGTAAGATTTATACAGGCATATACATGTAGTACCTATTACTTTGATTCACTTGGGTGAGGTTCAGTTCACTGGATTAATATTCCTACTGTTTTGGGTAATATTACTATATATAGGATGTGCTGTTAGGATATTTACAGTCACCATGTGCGTTAGTTTGATGATGACCCCGGAGTGAGTTTATGAAGGATTGTTATGCTAAACCCTGCAGGTGGATTAAGTTCAGGTATAATAAGAATGTGATGAACGAGCGTTAGCTTCAGTGAAATAACAATAAATTAATTAATTCTTGATTATCAGTAATCGAATTAATTAATGGACATTATATCTTAAACGTGAGGAGGTAAATCGAGTAATTATAATTGGAGTATCAAATGTAATTTAGGCTAGGAAAAAGGAGTGCAATAATATTTATGTTGGTGACCCATAATATTATTTAATAAATTAGAGGAGTGGGTTTGATCCACAGTTAGTCTAATTAATAAGGAGCCCTATTCCTAATCTCCTAAGGGGTCCCTACTGTAGCTATATATATATATATATCATTAATCTCATGTGAAGAGAACCAATCTCACATAATCACGTGAAACCGTCCGCCCCCTCTATTGGGTTCTATTAGGAACGTCGACAATGTGCACATTCAAATATATTGAATAATAAATCCTAACGCAGGGGAATCTATAGTTAGGATTAGGACTTACGGTTCAAAATTTTTGCCAAGTCGTTTTTGACTTCCGTTGATGGAGATCGTCTGTCTACCACAACACAATCGGTTGAAGGGTTTGGCCTTTGTCGACTCTAGTCGAGTGTTGAATCATTAACGGATCACTGGATCAAGTTGGTCGGGTTCGGATTGCGGCAGTTCAGGTTGCGGACAGATGCGCGTGCGTGTCAACTTTCCTATGCCTGGAAGGACTAGGCGTGCGGCGTCTGGGCTCACGCGGGTACGTGCTCGGGACGTCTCCTATACGCGCGAGGAGTCCTGATCAGGCGAGGAATAGCGTGTGCGTGCGGGTCGCGCGCTGCGGCTTTCCTATGCCTGTTAGAACTAGACGAGCAGAGTTTGTGTCATACCGATGGTATGCGGCACGTTTCTTGGGGCGCGAGGAGTCCTGGTCGATCGTGGAGTCCTGGTCGAGCGAGGAGTCCTAGTCGAGCGAGGAGTCCTGGTTGAACGAAGAGTCCTGGTTGAGCAAGTATGTCGGCGGCGTGTAGTGGCCAGAGTATTTGGATCTTCAAGGTTTATAAATATCACCTTAAATCTTCTAATGGATTACCTAAACACCTACTTCGACTAATCTTGGTGGAGAGATTAATCGAAACTCCCTAACTATCTATTGTGTATAAATCTCGATTTTGCTCTTCCTTATAGGAACCTTAAAATCGTGACTCACATGTACAAGACAAGAGTTGGGACATGGTGTATTTATAGGATCTATTAGGGACCTTAAGGAGGTGTCAAATATGGGCTTATCCCATTAGGCCAAGGAATCCTAATTCTAGTCCACTTATTAATCCCAACTAGGTCATGATTCCTTTCTCCTAACATCACCTTCTAGAAGACTCGCAAGTCTCCTAACCCTAGGTAATATTCTAAAAGGAATATTCCCTATCTCATGGAATATTAAATAAAGAATAAAATTAATTCCTATAATCCTAATAAAATTAAATAATAATATATCCCACTAGAATATTATTATTGCTCTCCCCATTTGGCTCCAATTTAATCAATTAAATCAAACCTCCACTTGATTAATATTTATTAATCTCATTGATCGATTTTTACCTCCCTATGTTTAAGATATAACGTCCGTTGATTAATTAAATTACTGACAAAATAATTAATCAACTTCTTATTCATTTCCGAAACTAGTACCACTTAGATCTTTAATCATTATGTCAGATATACACCCGCCTGCAGGGCTTGATGTAATATTCCTTCCTGGCTCATCTCGGGGACGTCATCAATCCAGCGCACTGGAACATAGTGATCGTAAATAATTTATAATAGCTCGTCATATAAACATCCTCATTTACCAAAGTACCGAGTACGTCATCCTAACGGAATAGGAATCACCCTTGGTAAATCAAATAAACAAGTAATGAATATACACGCCTATTTTATATAATCTTACAGCTTTAGAGAACGCATCAATAACTGAAGGTCGAGATTACAGCAACGATCAGTGAGTCTCATAATCTTAGCCTTCCACGGTCCTGTTCAATACTTAACATAAGTACTAGTGTAGTTCTCCGGTCAAAGATCAACTGAATCAAGAATACACTATTGTCTTTTTCCAAGTGGGGTCTCCCTGCCAGTCTAGACTGTGAACAAATAATTTAGTCTTACAAGGAACCGATAGGTGACCTTTCTGTTCGAGACACCACGAACCACACTATCTCAATGTAAGACAAGGAGTATGATTGCATAAATAAATAAACTGCAAGCATATGTACTTTGACCGAAACATGATTGCCAGATCAAAATGGAATTGTTCATATCTGAAAGCTAAGCTTTTACAACATTTCTAACACCCTCCTCTCTCTCTCTCTCTCTCTCTCTCTCTCTCTCTCTCTCTCAGTTCTCATTCGAGCTTTGTCTTCTTGTTGTTGCTCTACTGGTACAAATTGAAGAAGGGTGTTTGAGTAATACAGTAGAAGATCCATAAGTAATCGAGACCCGATAATCTTCTACGGCAATCTACGATCCACGACCCGAAGGCCGAGGACCGTCGACCAGCTGTCCACCGTCGCGACCCACCGGAGCTCTGCCGCGATCAACCCGGAAAGGCACGACACGACCGGAAGCAGTGAGACGGGACCCGATCGGTGAGCACCCCACGCCACACGACTCGATCCCTGCGAGCCGCGACCCGCTCGTGATCCCGACCTGCTCGTGTGCCAGTCCCGGTCATCCCGAATCCGACAGATTCAGAAAATTTTAAGCCGTAAGTTTTCTATGTCAAACCTTTAGATTCGCTGCGCATAGGTTTACGTTTGTTATTGAATTCGTGATTTGTACATAACGAGATCCTCACAGATCCCAACAAACCCTTTCTCCTAGCTAGAAGAACCAATCCATTTNNNNAAAAAAAAAAAAAGATAATTAAAAAAAATAAAAAAAAATCCACATCATATATCCTCATGGCTCACCTTGAAAAACAAGAAACCTACCCACTCGACCACAACTCCTACAAAATCCTCGACGAGATCGGGCGTGGGACGAACATCACTGTATACAAAGCCATCTGCATCCCCATGAACTCCTCCACAGTCGCAATCAAAGCCATCGACAGGGACGGATGTACACCTATTGTAGGAGGGGCTATGGTCCCCCCCAACCTTTTTCTAAATTCTTAGCAGTATGTATATATAATATATAATATTATACATATTTAATAGTTTGGCCCCCTTCAAACTATAAAGATTCAATTAAAGTAAATAATATATTTAATAGAAATAGAATCAGGTTTGGAGATGCACGCCGCTTCCACTTTTTTTCCTTTAATAAGCAATATAATATAATAAATTAACTTAATTAATTATTCTTGACTCCATTAAACAAATAATTAAAGATTAAAGTGACTTTGTCAAGCTGAAACTTTTCCATCATAGGAAAATTGGGAGAAAATTGGACTTGTAAGGGCGACTTGACAGTGAGCAAACCAGAAAAAAAAAATATATCAATTGATTTTTTTAAGTATTTTTGTTCATCTTCTTCCCCATAAAAAAAAAAATTTGCCCCTATTTTTGTTCATCTCCTTCCCTAGAAA